GTTGGTGGGGAGACACTGAAATATAGACAAGTCAGATTTGGTCATGTCACTAAGTTCAGATGATGATAAAATCCACAGGGAAAAAATACAAATGTTATTTTAAAACATCTCTATTGGGAGACCTGTCAATTCCAGGGTCATCAATCATGCCTCTACCCAGCCAAAAGAGAACTGGGTGAAGCGAAATGTGCTCTGCCCAATGAGAAGACACCCCCATGGCCTCCATTGTTACCCCCACCTCTTTTATTCTATTGCAGTGAGCAGGAAAGGGGAAGCATAGGACGAATACGGGTCATTAGCTTTCCTTGAGAAGCTTCAGTGGCCGTGGTGAGGAATCACTAATTAAACGCTGGTTAATTCCATGCTAACAGCCAGAAGAACACAGAAAACACGGAAAGGTCTCAGACAAAAATCCCTTGTCCGGGCCTTCTCTAACCTTCACACTGTACTTTTCCACAGTTTTTTTTTTTTAATTGCCCCTCAGACACCTCCCTGTGCTTTTCCACAGAAGCAAACACTCCCCAGAATTCAGTAAGCAAGGTTCCTCTCACCAGCCTCCCTCCCCATCACCGCTAAGAAAGCTACACCCAAGGCCCCTGTGCCACCACACTCCCCGCTTTCTCCTGAGTCAGTGCCTCTCACGGCTTCACGTTCTGGCTTCTACAGTTAATAAAGTTGAAGCAGGGTCTGCTGAAGTGGCTCACGACGCAGCGAGAACAAAAGAACTGATCACCATACTAAGCACTCGCTCTCAGCTCCCTGAACACAAACGTCAGTACGAGACCATTCTAACTCCTTATGAGCTGTGACAAGATAAGTCCACGTGCTAGCTCGCTGGTGATGGCTTTGAGCCTATTTATCTGAATCTTCTGGTAGCCTACTGTTCAATCATACGTCTCTAGGCAAAGGAAAGACCTGCACGTGAGTGCAGATGGCCTCTAAGTGTCAGATCCCCTAGAGCTGTAGTGACAGGCAGTTGTGAGCCACCTGACCTGGGTCATGGGAATGGAATTCAGGCCCTTTGCAAGAGCAGCAGGGACTCTTAACCTCTGAGCTCTTTCTCCAGTCCGACTTCGGGCAACATTCAATACTCGGATACACAGGGAAAAGTCATGGAGCAGAAAGATGCCTGTTGGTCACCTCTAACATTATGAAAAGAATCCGCGGAAATCTGAAGCGATCATTTTACCTTAGTTTCTGGGGGTGAAAACAGCAAAATCAAAGGCTAAAACCCTGATAGTCATCTTCAAAAGTAAGCATGTAAAGCCAGGCGGTGGCGACGCCCATCTTTAATCCCAGCACTCAGGAAGCAGAGGCGGGCGGATCTCTGTGAGTTTGAGGCCACCCCGGGCTACAAAATGAGTTTCAGAACAGCCAAGGCTATGTAGAAAGACCCTGTCTCAAGAAATATATAAGGAAATAAATAAACTCCCCTCAAAAGTAATCATGTGAACGCTGGCATTGTAACTGTTACTCCTCAGCCTGGAGATTCACCATGACGAGGCCTTCTACTTTGCAAAAGGAATGGATGTGTTCTACAGCTTACTATTCACCAAGGATCAGATGGGCTGGCAGTACTGTAAGGTGTTACCTGGCGACAGAGGGCAGAAACAACAGTCTGGCCTTGAAACAGCTGGGAGCGGGCGGGCAGAGGCAGTGGCAGAACCAGCCTCCCCACACCCCACAGAATGCAAGGAAGGTTGACTTTCCGGATAACTACTGCCCACCCTGCCTGCCAGGACTGAAGGTAGTGGGGGAGGGGAGGACGGAAGTTTATCAGAAGCATATATGAGTCCAAAGACTTGTTCACATTCTAGGAGTTAGATACAGGAGACGCCCCCTACGCCTATCAGACCAGTAGGTTTTAGGTGCTTTTTTTTTTATATGTAACCCAGTCTTAATATGGCCACTGGGCACCTCTGCGGTGACTGGAAATCCCTGCTATATAATCATGCCCATCAGAAGAAAGCCCAAAGCCTTGCCTGATTTGCCTTAAAGAAGGTTCCTCTTCTGATCTGCTAATGTAAACAAATGTCACTTCTACATCTCTGCAAGGGGAAGAATTACGAGGAATAAAGCCCAACTGTTAGTATATGCCCCTGAGACAGTGTGTCAAGGAAGAGAGCCAATTTTCCTTTGCAAGCTAAATATGGAAACAGAATGTAAGTCTACGATTTGTAATATACAGGCAGCGTTTAACAGACTTCCCTGCACCCCATGTGTCCAAATGATAATATTTATTCTGGGCCAATTATTTCTAAGAACCTACAAATGCGCACGCTGTGGTGGACCCCGTTTACACGGAGGAAGCGACAGTGCCCCCTGTGACATGAAGGGATAAAAGACACGGAGTTTTGTGTTGGGAAATATACAAGTCTTCCCTTCCTTCAGAACTTGCCCCCGCTCTTCACAACGACTTCTTTATACTCTACAAGTCAAGTGTACAGTATTCGCTTCGCTTTCCAAATCAACGCAACGCATACAAATTCCCCCTCTCTCTCTCTCTCTCTCTCTCTCTCTCTCTCTCTCTCTCTCTCTCTCTCTCTCCCCCTTTAATGCAATCTGGATGAACCACGGACACTGAAGTACTAAAGCCACATGCTCACACGTACACCGTCTTCAACAGAAACTTGGCAGTGGTTGGTTTGAAGCAAATTAAGTCCTGAGAAGCAACTTTGGCACAGGCCAGAGGAGTCAAAAGTGCACTCCCTTGCAACCACAGCCCTATGGGGTCCACCCTGCAAGCATGTTTGGTTCAAACACGATGGGCCAGCCACTTACCAAACCACAGCTTATTCCTGATTTAGAGAAGCAGCTCCCAGACTTAAACTAGACAGTGGCAGCCAGAAGAGAAATGCCTGTTTCGACACTGGCGATTGCACAGGGTGGACTCAAAACTTGGGTATGAAAGCTCAGGATGGGGGACCACTGATGACCATCTCCTTAGTGCAATAGGCAACCGACGTCTTAAAGAACAGTAACCAGTCCTTCCTCTGACACCGACAAGTTCAACAGACAGACAGAAGCGGGTTAACACCACTGTCCCTATAGAAGAGCTGTGTTTCATTTCCAAAGCACTCAGAATGATCATGAACCCAGGTGAGTTAACTCACATTTCTGCAGTTTGGATTCCCAGAAGAGGGGCAAGAATGGGTCCCTGAGAGCTTCTAGCAAGGTTTCTCTTGGCAGAGAGAACACAGTAAACAATTCCCACACAGTCCCAGCAATGTCTGGACCGGGCTCCTTTGTAACACACAGGAGTGCTTCCCTACTGGAGTGTGGACAACACCCAACGCAGAGACCATCACAGAGAGAAACAATCCAGGTCTTACAGCCGGTATCCTACTACACAGATGTCAGGAATTCTATACAGAAAACAGGGGGTTTTATGAAATACCACAATGCCCCCTGTGTTCCTTACCTTCCAGGGGGTGGAAGGGTGGTGCCTAACATGCTAATCCTGAGAACAGACAGTAACATTGGTCTGAAAGGGACTCCCCTGTGTGTCCGTGTCCCTCCACATCACACTCAGCACCTGTCTAATTCAAGCACTCAGTCACAAGTCATGCATCTTCTCAGGAGACAGCTGCCAGAAGACCATCCACAGACCCCCAAGTTTTCTCAAAGCGGTTGCAGAACAGGAGCTCATGACTGACCCAGGACCATCAGGCTAGAAGATCCCATCTGGACTGATGTCTTCTCGTTCACTCTACCCAAGTCACAGGACAACACAGACTGGGGAGGGAAGGGAGAGCGCCCACAGCAGACAACAGCCATTTAACCTTCTCCGGAGGCTACAGTCACAAGCCGAATCTTGTTGAGGGAGTTTTTATTTTAGACATATAAACAAATGAACAATGCTGAATTCTGAATTCTAACACAAAAACAAACAAGAAACTCCTAATTTGGGGGGGGGGATGACAAGAAATCATTGATAGGAACAAAAAAGTCTATAGAAGAAAAATTTTAAAAGATGCTTAAATTGAAAATAACAACAGCAGAAACCAAGTCACCTTTTCTGGTTCTGTATATCCAGTTCTCATCATCTGCTTCCACCTGCTGCCCACAAACAGACAGCTCTCCGTCACTGCGAAACAGCCTCTTTGTCTGCCTGGACAGGGAGGAGAAATTTATCCAACTCACAGCACGTGAGAGAGAGCCTGGGTTTGCCTTGAGTCTGAAGGAACCTGAGGCGCCTTCCTTTTTCATCTTCTTTCGCATCAAAATCCTCCAGAGACAAAGGGCAGCCCAACAAACAAAAAGCTGGCTTTTTCGAATTGGCCCGGGTCCTTGAAAGGAGCCTGCCCCTTCCCACTTATCCAGACAACGCTGAGAGTCGGGCTGGCATTGTGCTTCTGTGTGCCCAATCAAAAGAAAAAGGGAAATGAAGGATTAAAAATATATTTTTAAAAAATGGTTTACTCTAGCCACACTGCAGCACCAGTTTCTGGAGAGAGGTCCACGGGCAAAAATTAAAAATAAAAAGAAGTACAAGCTTTTAAAAAAGAAACGCTGTGGTCATTTAAGACACACTTGCCAAGACTTTGCAAAGAAGAGCCAAGGTACCCCGACACTTGGCTGTTCGGCTAGCATCCCTAAATGTAATCCTACGCCTCTCCAGGGCATCCTTCCTTTTGAAGGCAGAAAGCCAGCTTCTGGTGGAGGAGCTAACTCCCCACCCGGCAGAAAAAGATCCAGAATCAAGCAGGTCCCCACTTTAAAGTTCACCCACACAGGTTACTTGGGAGAAATCAAAGCGTTCGGCTCTCTCGTCTCGGCACAGGGCAGAATCATAAACCGCCCACTTGCCCTCCTTCCCGTCTGGGAAGCGCTCCTAGCCGCAGGACTCCACAAACAATAAAACAGGCTGCGTGGCTATCGCTTGGATTACAGAGTAAGCACTCCCGCGAAAGATGATAGGCTTGCCCAGGACTGAAGGCACCTCATTGGCGACGGAGAGCCCCGCCCCTCCACAGACTACACTTCGGTGGTAGCTCAAACTTCGGAACTCCTGCAAAGCGCTGGGAATGCAAGCCTGTGACGAACGTAGTTGCCTGCAGGTCACAAAAAAAGAACTGGATTGCCAATCAATGGACCCACTTGTCTGAAAAGGTGTGATCACCAGAAGCCCTTCTGGAGTCCGCCAGCGGTCCTAGTGGGGGGTTAGGAATGCCATTCTCAAGGATAAGGTAAGAGGTTTCACTTCCTGCTTCCAGCCAAGGTGAGAAGCAGCCACGTGTGCACCTGTCCCCGCTTCCCCTCCTGCCACCCATAGGCAGAATGTGGGGCACAGCACCCCTCTTCAGCCTGGCCCCGGGGACCTTTCACTGGACACCCTATCAGAGAGAAACTTATGTGAAAACAATGCTAGAGCAATCGGTTGGTTGCAAGCAAAATCAAAGCACCTAGAAGCTACCTTGCAATGCGCTGGAGTGTATATAACCCCTCCCCTAGGTCCCTGTGATGCCTTGGTCCTGAAAGTCAGCATTCCCTGCCCCAGAACCATGCTCAGAGTGTGGCAGACAGCAACAAGCAGAGAATTAGTCATATCAACACTAACAAATTCGCTGAAAATAAAAGCGACTAAAAGTTCTAAAAGCAGCAGGGTGGTGGCGGCGCCAGAGGCAGCACCTGCTTTGATCCAAGCACTGAGGCAGAAGCAGAGGGATCTCTGAGTTCAGGCCAGCCTGATCTACAGAATAAGTACTAAGTAAGACAGCCATGGATACACAGGGAAGCTCTGTCTGGAAAAACAAACCAAAAGTTCTAAAAGCAAACTCTGCACCACAAAGTCTATTCCAACTCTCCAGGGCTACAAAAGAGGTTCTCTTCCAGCATACCAGGACCGGGATGTTTGCTGAAGAAGTTACAGCGCAGAGTGTCCCTAGGACAGTCACTTCCCGTACTATACCAGAGGAAGACACTGGGACCGAAAAGCCAAGCGACAAAACAGCCTAGTTGGCACTGATGAGGAGTTCATAGCTAATAGGATTCTCAAGAGATCCTGTAGCTTAAACCCCTCAAGTGATAAGACAGGGAAACTGAGGCATACAAGCACATGCCATGGCAGAGCAGGGGTGAGGGATGTGGAGTGAGTTATAGCAGACATCACCGGGTCAGAGGTTCACCCTACCGGGTGTACTGGGTCTGCTTCAGCTTTTAGTTTGCAATGATCTGTCTATGCTGACCATTAACGCCAGTGCTAAGACAATGAATGACACCATCAGACGCAGTGGTGTGTACACCCATCCTCCTGGTGCTGAAGAGGTGGAGGCAAGAGGACCAAGAGGTCAAGGTCATCCTCTAAATGTAAAGCAGACAGCCTGGGCTACATGATATCCTGCCTCCAGGAACCAAGAAGCAAAAAGAATTAAAAATATAACATAAGGAATTTTTTTAAAAATATTTATTTATTTATTTATTTTGTATACAATATTCTGTCTGTGTGTATGTCTGCAGGCCAGAAGAGGGCATCAGACCTCTTTACAGATGGTTGTGAGCCACCATGTGGTTGCTGGGAATTGAACTCAGGACCTTTGGAAGAGCAGGCAGTGCTCTTAACCACTGAGCCATCTCTCCAGCCCCATAAGGAATTTTTTTAAAGCACTATAGAAAAGTCCATGCGTCCTCCACGCTGTTCAGCATCACAGAGTTTCGCGGGACTCCTGCCCTCTAAGAACCTGTGGGCCCCAAACATTGAGCACAAACCTCTCCAACTTGCTGTCCACATGTTAGGGTTGCAATGTACAGCTCTCTAAGCTTTGTGATAAACCCCTTGCTGTTCCCTGCACCAGAGGAACAGCTGGGTTCTCTTCTGCAGGCCTCTTAGAGTACAGACACAGTCCGGGTGCACCCGAGCCAGTACTCAGGGCCTGCTCCTCACACATCCCCAGTCTCGCACACGTCCAGCAAGAAGCTAACGCAGGGGCAAGAAGAAAACTCACTTGAAGCCACCAAGAATGATAATGGGCCTATTTAGAGCCAAGACTCAAGACTCGCTCTTAAAGTCACTTATATTTATATGGGCCGAAGTTATTTGTAAAATATAATTTTATCCTAGATGTAGGTAAACGAAGAAACTGGATTTAGAGATACTGTTCCACCAAACCACACAACAGAACTGATGAACAATCCTCCGTGGACTATCTAGGCTATGGTCTAAATCAGCAGTTCTTTACCTGTGGGTCGCGACCCCTTTGGGGTCACATATCAGATATTTACATTATGATTCATAACAGTAACAAAATTACAATTATGAAGTAGCCATTAAATAAATTTAGAGTTGTGGGGGGTGCAGTCACCGGAACATGAGGAACTGTAGACATTGGGAAGGTTGAGAGCCGCTGGCCTCCATGATTGCATATTTGCTAATACAAAGAAAGCCACATACTTCAAGTGAGTTTACTATTGGATCACACTTGCTGTTTGGCCAATGCAACACTTCTAGTCAGCCCCTGAAGGACTCAGTTTTATTCATGCGCCATGTGGGCTCCAGAAGAGCTTAGGTGGGCTGCCTCAGCTATGTCGTTCATTCAAACTGCATTCACTGAGCAACTGCACAGACACACACCTTAACCAATGGGCTCTCAGCCAGGGCTGTGGAGCCGGTGTGCACTTAGGAAATGCTGTACTCTTCATAAAAACTGCTACTGGGGAGTAGTATGAGCTTTAGAGTATCGACGGTTTTCTCAAATAACTTCAATCATCTTCAAAAATCTCAAAATGTCATAATTCAACCCCCCCCCACACACACACATACGGAAAGCTATGGAGAACACGCCCTTCGCAGATCTTGTCAACACACCTGCTGAGGAAATGTGATCCCACTCCTCACTGTGATGGGTTTTCCCCTGTCCCCTCCTGCCATCAGGCTGTCACACAGCAACTTCTGCTGCCATCCCCTGTGCCAATCCCACTCCCTCCTACCACGCGGCATGGCTCTGCTTCAAGCACAGAGAGAGCAGATAAACAAGCTTGCTGAAATTACATGTTTAGCGGGATGGAGCCTGTGCGGCCTCGCAGAATGAAATGCGTGGCTTTAATACAAGGGCTTTGTCACAGCTGCCTCCCACTAGTACCCTTGTCCTTTACTTGTGTGGCTGCAGCCCAAGGGTCAGAATGGCTGGATGACGACACCAGGATGGGTCTGTGTCAGGCTGATGGCTGACTGCCCCTTTTATATGAAGCCTTGGCCCCTTGGGGTCACTTACCAATAACTACTACCGACATTAGAAGAAAATGCATTATTTTAGGAATAATTTAAATAATAGATTAATTAAAAGCTGTCTATAAAAACTGAGAGGCACTGAACTATGTGGTTAGGGAAAGTTCTAGAACCATCTTCCTGAGTCAGTGCCCATGAATTAGAAGAGATTTGCTTTCTACCCAAGTCAGCGGGTACATTGGATACACTGAGAAGCCTTGCGTGTTGTACCAGCATCCTGAAAACCGAGAGTAGTCGAGTCAAAGTTTTCCATCTAACAAAAATTGTTAAACATGACAGGATACACGAGGAGACAAGCCCCTCCACCAATCAGGCGTGAAATTACTCCAGTTGCCATCTGCGTGAAATGCCAGCCAAGAGCAGGGATTCGTTTCAAGTGCTGTGAGTTCTTTTGGCCTCTACACCCTCAAATGAGCGAGAGCTGTGACTTCTAATTTCCGTGTGTATCTCATCTGCTCTTTCGAAGGAGGAAGGGAAGAGAGAAGGGGAGAGGCCAATAGAGAACAGTGCGGGGCTGCTGTGTGGGTGGCCTGGTCACCCTGGGGGGGCAGTGGGGAGCCAAAGTGAAGACTTCTGAAGAGAGACAAAGGGGGTGGGGGCGGGAGGCACGCACAGCTATTGGCAGCTTGAACCCTATGGGGGAGGGGGAAAGCAGTGCAATGTGGCCCTTATCACATTACCATCCAAATCTCCCAGACAACCCTCAGGCAGCTTTTACTTCTGGGACAGGGTGCAGTCGGTTTCCCAACTGTCACTTCTTTTCTTTTTTTTTTTTTTTCACTTCTTATGAATAATTTAAGGGCAGAGTTAAGTGGAAATCTTTCTATGTAATTTGTACACACTAATAATTAAAAGTCTCTCTCTCCCCATACAAAAGTAAATGGTGTGAGATAGTTACTGCTTGTCTTATTTGGGGTGTGGGGAGGTTGTTTTGCTGCTTGGTTAGTTTGGTGTTTGGTTGAGGCAGGGTTCCAAGTTGTTCAGGTTGGGTTCAGACTCCCTATGAAGCCAAGATTGACCTTGAACTTCTGATCCTCAAGTCTGGACCTCCCAAACTCTGGGTTAGCCCAAGTTATTTGTATCTAAGAAACAAAACAAAACAAACCCCACAAAAGCAAGGCCATGTTGCTCCCATAACCACAACCAAATTCTTCCTCGATATACTAAATTCTCAGCTACCATTGTACCAATGTTCAACAGGAAGAAATATTAGCTCAGGGAGTGGGGAGGGGGTGGTACATGCCTGTAATCCCAGAAGAACCAGGCAAGATGGGTCAGAAGATCAAGGCCATCCCTGGTGGTGGAAGGTGCTTGAGACAAGCCTTGGTTACAGGAGAACCTATCTTAAAAATGCAAAGTGTCTGGCATGGGCATGTACATTGGTAACCCTGACGTTCCAGGGAGTGAGGCAGGATGATCATGACTTCTGTGTCAACTTGGGCTGAAAGGTCTGGCTTTTTGTCATTTGTCCCTCTCCATGAATGAGTAATATTGTTCTCCTCAGATGACGAGACTAAACACACGCATTTGTCTACCGTTACACACCAGTGAGTCGGAGAAGGCCTCCATGAAGATCTGACACCCCGCGCCTTAGCCCCCGAGGGATCACTTGATACAGGAGCAATATGGTGGCAGCAGTACCCTGGGTCCCCTGAGGTGAGGCACACGGCGAGGAATATCGCCAGCAGCGGTACACAGAACAATGGTGCCAGAGCACAGAGACCATCGGAAGTTGTGGAGCAGTCAATGGCCCAAAAGAAGAGGTCTGTGCCCACTTTAACCCCCATCTAAGAGGTTCAGGTCAGAAAATACCCTAAAACTGAGGATCAACACCGTGACTTTTCAGATACAATAGGAACAAGGGTAAAAACCTGAAAAGAAGCACCAAGCAGTCTTGGAAAATCTTGACTTCGTGGCTGTTGACACCTTTCTGGTGGCCTCTGCAGTGACTGCTATGGTTATTAATGTTTCCTCAATCAGGCCTTTAGAAGGCTTGTTAAACACATAAATCCCAGGGGATCTTATTAAAACACGGAGTCTGATTCAGATCTGAGGAAGGGCCCGAAATTCTGAACTCCAGAAGCAGTCAGCTGATAGTGGTGTACGGTTCACCTCTGAGCCAACACGTCCCCCAGGACAGGGATTCCCCGTGAAGGAGGGAACAACGGAGCCATCCAGCCATCCGTTCATTTCCCTGTACAGCTTTTCTTTTGAGCTTATGTTTCAAGATAAGGACGTAACTAGACCTTCTTCAAGGTGATCATTCCTTTACCACCAAATCCCCCGAATCAAAATTGAAACTGATAATAGAAACACAACCTGAATTAAGGAGTGACTAACAAAATCTCACCGCTCACACTGTCAAACGGCTTTGTTTTAGGAAAGACTCCTTGCCCTTCTTAATTTGTTCAGACATTAATACTTGCTCTCGTCTCCCAAAACGCCATAATCTCAGTGATCCACCCCACTGTTGCAGTGAACACTAAATCAGAATCAGAGGAACAGCCCCTCGTCCTCCATGGTTCTCCAGAGAGATGGGCTGGGGCGCCTGAGGCCCTGTCAGATGAACCTAACTGGTCAGAAGCAGTGGAAACACATTTTGGTTTTCGTCAATTTTTTTTCCTGGTAGATGTTTATGACAAAAATGTTTTCAGTCAACCCAGGTGACCTCCCAAAGCATTCGTTCCGTTTTGCTCTAGCTTCCCCGCTACACTCAGCTTGCCTTACACCGCACACTGGGGTGAGCTGGTCCCCTCCCCCCCCCAGGCTTGTTTTCAAGCCAACCAGCTTTCACTACATTGCCAGTCCAAGTCAGAAACCCACACCCATCTGAACACCAGCAGCAGTGACTCTAGCGAGCTAGATGAGCCTTTGAACAACGCCAGTTAACAGAACTGGTACAATGTGCTTAAAATGACTTGGATCGGTGTCACTCGGAACCCCAATTCCTGTCAGGGGTCATGATCACGGCATTCTAGAGACTGAGGCAGAAGAACCTGGAACATGAGGCCAGCCTGAGCTACACAGTGAGACACTGACTCAAAACACAAATGAAAAGAACCTAAATTCAAGTTCGTCTCCAAATAAGTAAATATAGGTAAATACAAATATCTATGTGTACAGGGTGGGCGGGAGAGGGCAGCTGCCTACGCCTCAGTTTCTATCAGTTTGAGAGTCATCTCGGAGAGGAGGACAGGAGCCCAGATAAAGGAATCAGTTCAAATATGTATTGATCCCCTCCTAGGAACTGAGCCAGGCTGTAAAACACAAAAGATAGGTGCTAGCTCGGGAGGAAAATAATGTTTATTGTAGGTCACAAATATCCAGTTACTTGTAACATAACAGCAAGAGGGATTGAAAAGACGGCAGTGCCTTGAGTCAGGGCTCGAGTTTAGTTATTGTGATGAGAAATACTCCAGGCTGAGAATCTCAGGAACAGAGAAATTTGATCCATGGGTGCTGTCTTGGAAAAGCGACTCTCTGCGGTGGGAGTTGAGGCATGGAGGGAGCCTGGATTTGCAGTATTTGCCAGTTCTCCTGGTGTAGGGACGCCCAACAAGGCCAGTTTCAAGTTGGCAGTAATTTACAACCAGCTGCTAAAACCCCAAAAATCCAAGAACTGGCTATCACGCCACTGGATTTTGCCAGCATATACTTTAGCACAAGCTGTGCCGCGGTAGAACATAAACAATAGGACGGCAGCTCGGTTTTGTTGCAGTATAGGTAAGAGGCACTGCCTGAGTGACCTCATATGCGGAGAGGGTATGCATCCATGATTGGATTATGTAACTCCCGTTCCAGAGGCTCCAACTCCTTCCTCTGGCCTCCGCAGGTACCTGTATGCAATGCTACACATATATACACCCAGCCACACATACACACCTGGTGTAGGAGGTCCTTCTGTATTTGTATTGCTTTCATTGGTTGAATAAAGAGACTGCCTTGGCCTTTTGATAGAGCAGCCCTTAGTTGGGCAGAGTATACAGAATAGAATACTGGGAAGAAGGGAAGTGTGGCAGACGCCATGATTCTCCTGCCCGAGAAGGATGCTGGTTAGACTCAGGTCGGTAAGCCACAGTCAAGTGGCAATACACATTAATAGAAATGGGTTAATCGAGATGTGAGAGTTAGCCAATAAGAGGCTAGAAATACAATTTCTGTGTGATTATTTCGGGGGTTAGGCTAGCCGGGCGGCGGGATGCGGCTCGCTCCTTCTACTACACATACCCATGAAATAAATGAAACAAATTGACCTTTAATAAAAAAAAAATCTTGAGATGAGGCTATTAAGGGTTCTCTAGGAAGAATGCTTAATAAGATCTCAGGTATCCTTTCCACGTAAGAGAGGGATATAAGGACTGAAGAGGAAGAGGAAGAGGCAGGTGAAGGCGAGGATGGAGAGTGAGATGAAGGGAATCCATCTGGCTGCTGGACCAGGGAGCTGGAGCTTGCTGGAGGCAATACAGAAAGCACAGTCCTCAGATCTCCAGAACTAGCAGGGAGTACAGGGTTGTGTGTTAAGCCAAGTGTGAGGGAGAATCGTACAGCGATGTCAGAGAGCAATACAAGGAAGTGGGGGGGGGGTCTTACAACTGTACCGTCTCTACCCATCTCTATACAAAGAAACTGGAATTCTGTTTTTGTTTGTTTTTTTGCAGTCTGAGTTTTCTAATTTCTTTTCAACAATCTACTTCAAGGTACTTGTAAAATGCAAAAACCTTGAGAAAGTTCTCTGAAGCTGGAGTTTTCAGCTTTTATTTCAATTCATAAAGCTTGACAAAAAAAAAATCAAAAGTGCATGTACTCAGTGTTCTAAACCCACCTGACACTAAGCTGGTGACTTACAGAGGGACAGGAAGCACTCATTTTCTGTAATTTTTTGCCTCTGTTACATATAAATGCCATGAATAATAAGGGGGAAAAGTGCCTTAAGATGTTTTCAGTTGAGATTCTACTAAAAATTCAATGTTTAGTCAATAATGCCTGCTTTATAGTATTCGTGAGGTAAATCAGGATAATTTTAAAATGCCACATTTTTAGTGCAAATCGTTCCAATTTGAATAGTAATTTATAAATTGAGACTATATAGACGTAATGCAGAAAGTAATCTTTTTAAATGTGTTTATTTATCTTAAGGGTATTATTGGTATTTTGCCATGATGTATATCTATCTGTGCACCAGATGCCTGGTACCTTTGGAGGAGCTGGACTCAGCTACAGATGTTTGTGGAGCCACATGGGAGTTGAGAACTGAACCTGGATCCTCCAGAAGATCTCTTTAGACCCATGGGCTACTTTTCCAGGCCCTAGTAAGAAATCTTATTATTTCAGATTAAATTTCCTATAGCCCCCAAAGCCTTTTTCCCTCTGGAAACAACTGTGTTTAAAAAAAAAAAAATCAAGCCGGGCGGTGGTGGCGCACGCCTTTAATCCCAGCACTCGGGAGGCAGAGGCAGGCGGATCTCTGTGAGTTCGAGGCCAGCCTGGTCTACAAGAGCTAGTTCCAGGACAGGAACCAAAAAGCTACAGAGAAACCCTGTCTCGAAAATCCAAAAAAAAGAAAAAGAAAAAAAATCAATAAGAATTTAAAGTTTGATTTATTTTTATGTGATGTGTATGAGTGTTTGCCTGCATGCATATATATACACATATATATACATATATATATACACACACACACACACACAGGCGTCATACATACATCCAGTACCTATGGAAACCAGACGAGGGCATCAGAGGTGAGCCGCTATGCGTGTGCTGGGTACTGAACCCAGGTCCTCTATTAAAAAAAAAAAAAAAAAGCAAGTATTTTTAACCACTGATCCATCTCTCCAGCTTCACGAATGGAAATCAAACAAATGAATGAGTGAATAAATGAATGAATGAAGATGAGCCTAAGAAAATCATGGCACCAGTGAACTTCATTCATAATGACAAACATCTTCTGGTCCCACTGGTCTAAGCCAACCCTTGCTAACACCTTGTTAAGTACAGAGTCAGAATTGAAGATATCAAGAAATTTCTTGTTGGTCCATGGCCGACTCAAGTGCAGTATTGAAATTATTTATGCTCTGAAAAAAGTCAAACATGAATATTTTCATTAGATGCCCCATAGTAATCAGAGACATTTTAAATTGCCCTTGCCACTGGTTCTTCACAGTACCATCTAGTTAAAATACTTTCAAAAGAAAAACTCCTTTCTGCCCATCAAAACTTAAGAATCTATGCAGCCAGAAAATGTCACGCCGTATTTCAGAACCTATAACACATCACTTGAGGTTATGAAGAGGAACGGACATAGTGTATCTAAAAAGAGAAATCTGTATATCTGTATCTTATTTAGCACAATCTGGAAACTCACATCCAAACAGGCTTCCATGATGGGCCCCAGCTTGTTAAAGTTTCAGATTCACAACTTTTAAACTGTTAAACCATAATTTCAAGTAAATAGGCAGAGTTGAAGTCACTACTTAACAATTTCACAGATAAAACACAAGCTGTATAGAACAAACGGGGACATGGTGTCGAGTGAACGGAGAACGGCCTGGGATGAGACATCTCAGAGATCGGAGGGAGCACAGGGGAGTGTGTGTAATGGACGCTTATCATGTTTTATTTTCTGTTTCTGTATTTCCTGCAAGTTTTATGGTAAACACAGAGTATAAGTTTTAATTTTCATTCAGAATTATACTAGTCAAAATTTCCACATTTAACACTTTTTATTTGTTTTTTATTTGTTTACTTTTCTCTATTTCGGTTTCCTCGTGTGTGTGCAGGGTATGTGTTTTTCTGGGTGCACAGGTACATGTGAGCATGTCCACGTGGAGCCAGAGTTCCCTTTTGACTCTCATCTCCCCCACCACCAATTATTTCTTTTTTCTTTATTCTTCTCTCATACATTACATCCTGCCTACAGTTTCCCCTTCCTCTTCTCCTCCCAGTCCCTCCTCCCCACATCCACTCCTCCTCCTTTCCCTTCAGTAAAGCGGGCCTCCCTGGGGCATCAACCAAACATGGCAAATCAAGTTAGAATAAGACCAGGCATATAGGCATATCCCTCATATTAACAATGGGAGAGGCAACCCAATAGCAGGAAAACGGTCCAGAAAGGAGGCACAATCATCAGACTTGCCTGTCATTCTTCAGGAAGGAGCTGTCCACCTGGACTCATCAAGAAACCGCCACTCACGGGCCTGAAGTTTGCTGAGTGGATGAGGCTGGCTGGCTAGGAAGTTCCAGAGATCCCCATTCCTCTGCCTTCCCTGCGTTAGTGCTACAAGCACATACTGCGTCTACATGGGTGCCGGGGACCGAACTCAGGTCCTCGTGCCTGCACAGCAAGACGATCCCCCCAGCCCTGTTTCAGCTTTTCATAAAACAGTAAGTGCTCCGCATCCGCACCCCACCTCTTCCCTATGACTCTGTGGTGAGGAGTTTTTATTTTGGTGTGTATCACTCCCAAACCTGTCTCTCCGTTCTCTTTCTACGCATCTGCGTGATTGCTGAGATGAAGCAGTGGCTCGTTTGCTTGCGGTTCATAAACAGAATTATACTGCCCGGATACTTGCTAGGTTATTTTTCTAAATAATACCTTAAACTTTCCACTCTGCACAGAAAGGGCTCACAGTCTTGACTCCTCTCATGACCCAAGCACCTGATCCTCTCCCTGCACCTTCCTTTGGATAACTAAAGGGCTACCTCACAGCTGAATATACCAAAACTTTGCCAACCAGCACGGTGTCTGTGTTTCTCTCACGTGCTAAGTCTATAAGAATTTGCTTTCACTTTAACAACCTTAAATTGAAATGGAATTGGAAATATGGACACATAGAAATTCCCAAATGGGCACATGGAAACACTGAGGGTTGGGACACACCATCCGAAACTATAAACATAGTAGACTAGAATATGCCACTTCCAAAATACACCTCTTTGGTGTACCTGAGCTGACACAGGAGTCGTTCTGAAAACCAGGCCATTTGTCACAGTGATTTGTATCTAGCAAGGAAGTCTACGTTTCAGAACGTGGGCCAGGCCAAGAGCTGCTCCAAAAGGCCTTTAATATCGAGAGAATGTGTCTATACAACACCACCATACTCGCCAGAAGCTCCTCCTGCCCCTCCCAGGAGGAGTACCACCACGCCCCTCCCAAAGCCCAAATGCTCCCTCTCTGCAGTTCAGGTTACCGAAGCCGCCATCACTCGCCACTTCTAGGAGTCTCACTTTATATAGAATCTCTGTGCATAACTCAACGACCTTCCTGCTGCTAACCGAGGTGGCCGATCAACTCGACGAGTAGCTCAGCCTCAGGGAGATCCTTTCCTTCCCCTCCCCCCCATACACATAGCATGAAGAAGACAAAATAACTTCCCGGCTGTGGAACTTGTGGCTTCGATGGCTTTGTTTTGACGTTTTCCTCTTCACAGAACAATTTTTGTCGTCACGCACACTGGCAACTTGCCCAACCGGTTTCAAAGATCTCCCAGTGAGAAAGACGATTTAGAAAAGAGGATCCCAATTGATATTGACTACCTCAGTTGTCCCCTTTGCAGCCACACGCGTCCCAGCCTTAAAGTGGTAAACTCGGCCCCCCCGGGGCCGAAAACAGAAAGGCCCAAAGAGCACTTAAGACACTCCCAACACTTGCTCCCCACGGGCAAAAAATGGAAACCCTAAATTGAGAGAACATCTGTTACTGGATTGCGCTGCTCCCCGGACACGCACTCAAAAAGAATGCGTGTGCTCAAAAAGGAATGTCAGGAGACGATGAGCGGCTTCCACAAAGCAAACACCAGGGTCCTCTCCACTGATGGTGGGTGGGGCTGTGTGGAGACGGGCAAGCAAAAGCTAAGGCCAGCCTTCCAGTATTCTCCCTGGGAGATTCTCCTCACTAGCCCAGCAATGCTCTCACCTGCTGAGACTCAGAAACAAGGACAGCGCTGTCTCCCAAAGCCCAGACGTGAACACGGAGCTATGAAGAGTCACAAGGACACCCACATGGGTCTCCTGTCCCTACTGGGACCACTGCACGCTAGACATCAAGGATCTCATCGCTCGCTCCACCTTGAGGAAGGCTGATGGGAACCTGCCGGCCCCACAGTGCCTGAGTGCTGGCCAGTTCTTTTCAGCAGTAGAGGGAAGCCGGCAGCAGGGCATCTCAAAGTGCTCTAAGCAGAGGTGGCTACTAGACAAAAGGTGGTGGCTAAGGCCAGGAGCAGGGCGCACAATTACATCAGGCCTGATAAAGGGTGGGGATCCGGGCGGACACTAAGACCTGTCAGCTGCTGCCCTTGCCATCTTGCCTACTTGTTAGGAGACGTATTTCTTCCCCCAAAACAATGTGAAGCAATGAATGGTTTACAGAAAAGTGCAAAATCCTGGCAAATCAATAGAAATTACTACCAAAAATTAAAAACTGCAAAGGCCCACCCTGCCTAAACTGAGGAATGCCAATTTAGCTTTTAAAAAGAAGTAAATAAGAAGAGGAGAGTGTGCATCCCTGGGAGCTCGGAACTTGGGAGGCTGGGGCAAGAAGATTGCCATGAACGAGAGGCCAGTCTGGGCCACACAGCTGAATGAGAGGCCGCCTCAAAAAGCAAACAAATATAACTAATACTGACGACAATAATAGGTACCAGCCCCTCCAGTCCCTCCGGTCCCTCTCGACCTCTGAAGATACGTGGTATTCTACGTAGCATTCTAGGTTACAGTCGCTAAGAAAAACACACCTGGTTCAACATAGGTTCAAAGGGGAAAAGTTAGTGATACCAACCAAATCTTTTGTTCAGCACTGAAACACTGTGTCGGCACACAGGCAGTCACAGTCAAGTACAGCAGGCATGGCAGATCAGGCCAGATGTCGCTTGAGGAAAATGACATTACTCACAAACCACCAAAGTGTCGCTTAAAAATTAATACGTAAGTCTATTATTTGGCCAAAGCCAGATGAGACTTCCTCTACCAAATGAGATTACATCGGAGGCTCGGAAAAGATCAGACTCGGATTTTCCTAACCAGGCTGCAGCCTCTCAGGAGAGAAATCAATAGTGGAATCCAATGTTTATCCCGTAGGCTCCTAGGGGTGGGGGAGGGGTGCGGGCAGAGAGGAAGACTGATGGGTGCCTACTGGTGAGTGCCCAGGGCAGCGGCAGACCCAATGCCTGATAGTCTGGCACCACTCAAAGACTAGAGACACAGCCGGGCCGGACCTGGCTCAGATGTATCTGTGCCTAGATCCCCAACCGTGTGGAACACTGGAGCCATGTTTGAGGGGCGATCCTTGTCCAGTAGATCGCACGCATTTGGAAGCTTTTGTTCTACACTCGTGTTTTCTAAGCTCTTCTCTTCCTGGGCTGTGTGGCGTATACTCCTCGTGTCTTTAACAGGTTGGTTTTTTGTTGTTGTTGTTGTTGGCTATTGTTTGTTTGCTTCAAGACAGGAGGAGGAGGAAGGAAGAGGAGGAGGAGGAGGAGGAGGAGGAGGAGGAGGAGGAGGAGGAGGAGGAGGAGGAGGAGGAGGAAGAGAA